AAGAAATAAGGTATAAAGTTGATGTAAGCAGTTTGAGAAACAGAAATATTCTCTACTCAAACAAAATTAACGTAATTAGAATCTGCCGGAAAATCAAGGGTCGTACGAACTGGAGCAATCTTAGATCTGTTTATTTGTACCACGTGAATTCTAAAACGGCACGTGCCTACACTGTAGAGTTTACAGTTATAATGAATATTAGGTGAAAGCAATTTTCAAAAACACAAATTATCATAACTTTCTGATAAAATAATCTAAAATAATAATCGTAAAGATTTTAGTCTGCATTCAGGCGAATTTAACAGAATTAAAAGTACAAATGTTTACGTTTTGTGTATTGGGGTCCGAGAAAGGGAAAACCAACTAATCATACGTTATCGCGGCAAATGTCAAACAAAATATTTTTCTGCACAGTTAAAAAAATTAGCATTTCAAATGGCAACAATGTTTATAAGTCAAAGATGTATTTTTAATGTTGAGTTTACACTATTTTTTTTCTTTGAAAGTGACGGGAAAATGAGAAATGATAACAAGTATCAACAAACCTGTCGAATAGAACCTTCGAGAGCCCTGCGTGAGTGTCGCCGAGTTCCCGTTTCTTCCTTATCCAGCGATTTTATTAATCCCCAAACTAAATTTTAGTCATGAAAGTTGCTTTTTCAAGTTCTATTTTCAGTTCCTTTTTCTTTTTGGTCGACTTTGTCAATGTAGCAGGCCTACCGGGATTCCCTCTCTAACCATGCTGTTTTGTTTATGAAAACTACGCATGCGTGCATAGCATGGAATGTGGAACCCCGAACACGTTGCGATATATATATTTACGTCCCATAAATAACTATTAATTTTAATGAAATAATCCAAATTATTTAATTGTAAAAGTTGTAATTTTCTGAAAGTTTATACATTTATGAGTAGTAAAAAAAATTCCAAATCTTGTCGGAAAATTTTATCTAGTCAGTTTTTTGATGAGATGCGCCGTACTGTCACTTTAAGCGGGGTCATTAATTATGCCATAAAATAAAGAGTATAAAATGTATGCTCTTGGAATTTTAAACATAGGAAATTGAGAATATAGCAATCATTGTTACTATTTTTTATGTAAATCTGTGGTATCTCTCATGTTTTGTTTTACTCCGTAAAAACAGGAAAATATCATGAATTTTGACATTTTGAGATGCCCCCTTCTGGAAACCAGACGGTAGAATTTTGTGTTTCTTGCACAAAATGTACAATATAGTATTACCCATCAAATAGTAAAAATTGAGCAAAAAGTCTATAGTAGTATTTGTATAATTTGCTCCGAAGTGCGAAAAAATGGTATTTTCCTATATAATCCTATAGTAAATGTACCCGTATTTTGAGACGGTCCCTGAAAAATAAGCAGACGGTAGATTTTCACTAAACTTGGCATGTATACTGAAGTCAATGTAAGGTATATAGGGTATAAAACTAATGAGTTTCTCTATAGTAGTTTTAACACAATAAAACCCCAGTCGGCTCCCTTAAGTGATTCAACTGTTTGATTGCTTTACTTCGAAAAATAATGTACTAATATACATTGTACCGTGCATTTTTTTTTCAAGAGTTAACGTTTTTGGGTAATTGTGCACGTTACATTAGGTTAAAATTATTAAATATGTTGTAGGGCTGGTCTGGTAAAAAAATATTCAAATGCTGGAAATTAATGCTAATATACGTTTGTGCCTCCTCATCCTTTCAGTAATAATATGTCAATTGGTCAGGAGACTTTCTATTTTGCTTGTACAGGAAGCTCTGTTCGATTGCGCCCCCCCCCCTCCCGGGCTCCCAACAGAAATTTCTGAATCCATACATGCCTGTATCATGTTTATCCGTCTGTTAACAAAAGCAGCCAGACTGAGGTGTGATGAATTTTCTCTAGTCGTCCATCATCCTGGCATCCAGTCTCTAAATTGTGTGCACATATGCTGACATATTTATGCAATCAAGTTTTTTTTTCCGAGAAGTAATTTAAGATCTACATAAATTAATTATGTAAAATAGTAGCTAAAACAAGCTATGTTTTGTAAAGACGTTTCCACAAGTTTAATTTACTAAAATTAAAATATCAGAAAACTTTGTCTTGTACAGTTTTTGTTTCAACAGAGGAACCAACCGTACAATGAATGCTAATGACGGAACTATAATGCGTCTTGGTTTTTGAAACCCAATATCAGGGGGAAAAAACAACAAAAACAAAACAAAATATGGAGGCTTGAAATTGATTATTCTGGTCGAAATCTTTTAATTCTGTCATTTTTTAATTACCTTTCTACAATACATCATAATAGATGTATTTTAAGTATTTTTAAAATACCTTGATTTTCTAAAGAGTAGATTTTTCTATCAGAAAAGTATATATTGATGAAATCAGTCCTTTGAATGATGTCATTTTTATGACTATAAAGTCTGTGTTTTATTAATTTTGTTTTATTTTTTACTTGTGTGTGTGTGTGTGTGTGTGTGTGTGTGTGTGTGTGTGTGTGTGTGTGAGGGTGTGTGTGTGTGAGGGGTGTGTGAGGGTGTGTGTGTGTGTGAGGGTGTGTGTGTGTGTGTGTGCAAATAGGTAGGAGGGTTTTTGACAGATGTGAACGCTAAACAGATAAAAAGCTTGCAATGGCCTTACCAAACTCTACTATACTGTTTAAACATGTTGACGCAATTACCACACCTGTTTTCTTTTAAAAGTACACAAATTTTCATCTGTCAATACCACAGTCTGATTAAAACCAGATCCTCGGTGCTCCTTTTTTAACGACATGTTGCTTACGATATACACTTTTATTGAAATAATATGATTTCTTTTCTTTTTTTTAATTCTTAAAAAGAAATCCTATGTTCATTCAAATAATAAAATGCTTTCTGTGTTTGTTAATGCTGGGATAAAGGTTGCAAAAATGCGTATGTAAAATTTTCTTGCAATGTTTGCAACCACTTTATCCTTGCACTTACAAAGAAAGAAAGATATTTTATCGTTTAAAATGAAATATGGGGATAACAAACAGTATTCAAGCTCAAAGTCCATTAAAACAATACAAATGGGGAGCAAAGCAAACACGGACCTCCAAAAAAATCAGAAGTGGGATCAGGTGCCATGGAGGAGAGAACATCCTCTGCCGACCGGTCACACCTGTCATGATCGGGAAATAACGGAAAAATCCGTCGACAATTCAGTGTGTAAGTAATGGCCTAACAATTAGTATGAAAAACGTCAGTCAGAATATGACTTAATGATAGATTGTATTTGCTGACAAGGTCATTGTATCGACCATAGAACTTACGGAATGATGACTTTAAACGAGACTGCTGATATTCTTGTTTCATCAACTTGTTTGTCCATAACTTACCTCGTTTTAGAAATTGTTCATACGTAGAGCATGCTCTTGCGTATCGAATCAACTGAGAGATATACATCCCATTTGCAGGTGATAAGGGTATATTGCTGCATAAGTAAGGGAACTTGACGATTGAAAAGTTAAAGTCATCACGTATATCATTAAGCTTTGTTGTTTGATTACCATTAACGTTTTTTACTAGTAAAATATCCAAATATAAAGTGTATGTATTTGGCATGTTCTGTGGTATCTTTTATTTCAAGCTCAATGGGATATTAATTCATAATACGTCGTCGATATATCGAAATGTCGAGTTGAAGGCCACAGAAAGATATTTCTTTTTCTCATGTATAAGATTTTGAATAATTTATATCTGTATATTTCTATAAAATGGGTGAAAGTAAGTATATATATATATTTGGATATATATCTGATGAGGAATACCATTTGTATTACAGTCAGTTGAAACAAGTTTTAGCAAAAATGGGATAATAAACCCAAGACAGCCTCTCAACTTTTGTGTATTTCAAAGAAATAAACGAGTATTTAAATGTAAATACATGTATTAGTAATTGTATTCCATATTTGAAAGTTTATGTGGATATGACTTGAAACTTTTAAAGTTATACATTCATGAATGTTAAAAACTGAAATACATTTCTTAAATGACTGGGCGTGACGTCTACTTTGTACATAGGTAAAAACTTGATACTGAATTTCAAATGCTCTAGGTTCGAATCGTTTCCTGTCCCATTCCCTTCCAAATTACATGTATGTAATTGAATAAGCTTAAGAAATCAACAATCTCGAATTAAGCCACATACAGATCCGCTTTCCTTGCCGAGAAAGATTTCTTTGTAAAATGCAAAATGCATGAAACGCTTTTTAAGGGTTTTTGTGTAAGGTGATAAAAATTTGATTCAGAAAAAGATTGCTTGAAAGGTGAAGCAGTCTGATTAGTATTCCGATTAGCAATACCAATTAATTTTTGCATGGGTGCTTCATTATTGCGCAACTTGATAAAGAACGTGAAAAAGGAAAGATATTTAAAAAAAAAAACTATTGCAAAGCTAATTCAAGTCCCGCTTGGTACACAAGCATCCAATACTCAGAATTCTCCCTGTTATATCTCTAATTAATAAAGTAACAATTTCATCTTTTGTTGATAAACAAGAATAAAACAAATACTTTAAGGATATTTTTGCTGTCAATTAAACTATGAAATATCGAATATTGAAATATGTACGTATGTATTAATTTTTAGATATCAAGAACATTTTTTGATTCATTTTTGTACAGCAGAAAAAGATAACAACACATGTTCAACGACGGGATCGAACCGCATAATTTACAATGTATGAACACCTCATAGAGGTTTTGTAAACATAATCACCTATAATGTTCATATTTTTTAAAACAGAAATCCATATAATCATAACACATACAATACGGAAGTATCGCCATAAATATTTTCCTAGCAGTAACATTTAGTTATTATTATTTTTTTTATTATCATTACTTTTTTTTATATTTTCAATGGGTTTTTACAAAAGCTTAATCCTTGAATGCGTTATAATCATCCATTTGATGCAAGAACTTATGTTGCAGTTTGGTTGTTTTATCTTATCTAAAGAATGATAAAATACATGTAGCTGTTGCATTTATTGTACTTTCAAGTTTTTACCGGGAAAACAGAATCATTAAATTACACATATCTTGATTGTTCATACATCATGTAACACTCACATTTATATAACTTAATTTGATTGTACAATATAATTAAAAATACGCAGGGTGGTAAAAAGTACTAACTTGTAAATTGTTCTCAAATATAATTAATATACATGACATACAATAAAAATACAAATGAAGGAGACAAACATTTAAATCCGCATAAAAAAATTGAGATTCATGAAAATAAATGTTCACAGAAACTTATTGACTGAATGGCTAATCTCATTAGATACCCTTCGGCTGATTCAAAATATGTAAAACACGATGTATCAACACATGGTAGGACTGCAGGCAGTAATTCAAAATATTCAACACAAGTGTGAAGCTAAGATTTCATGACTAAACTTAAAATTTCTAACAGCAAAGTGATCAAACAGCAGAAGTGAAATATTGAGATAGGAGTAATTACTCATATAATGTATATATTCAGAGTCCAAATAGAAGTTTTCATTATTGGTAACATCTAACAACAGATTGGATGCATACTGCAGATGGACAATCCTTAGAATTAATGTACGTCTCGATAATGACTCAGAAAAAGTAAAAAATTCGATGACAGGTTATAGGTTCTAATGGTCACTGGAATCTTGTTATAACAGGTGAAAATGATGCCAGACGACGAGATAGCTCACCTGTCCTCAGAATGGACAGACTGACTTTTCTAACTTACGACCATTCAGTTAGTAATAATTCCATAGTATAAATGAACTTCAATTAAGTAAACAGGAGCATATACCGGTATTTAAGTATTTGTTCGATACGCAATGTTTTGAGCATGTAGAATATTAAAGCGATCATTTCATTCAGAGACAAGACACAAAAAACTTATCTCGTCCTGATTACATTGTTTGTATCACAAAAGTAAGCGTAACAACATATATAAAATTACAATAAATGATCAAATGGAACACTGGTGGTATGCTAGACTTTCTCCTTGTCTTCTATACTGTAGTTGATTGTCTGTGACGCACTAAGCCCTGGTCCATTTGAAGTCTCTGATTGCAACAAACTTTGTGCGTCCACGTGTGAAGTAACAACTTCCCCATTTGGTTGCACCTCTGACGTAACTACCGCCAAAACGAGGAATGGACTAACCTCTGAACTGTACCCTGAACTACCCGAAGAATTTCGACTGCGTGAACCCATCAATGATTCGATGTCCGATTCTAACTGTCTTTGTCCATGAACACCTGCTCGCATTTGGCGCTGGCGCCGTCTTTCACGCCTACGGCGTTCACGATCGGCTTCGGCGCGATCACTTGGAATATAATGTTGCGGAAGTTGGTTTGGCATACGACACATTTTCTTGATTTCGTCCGCAAAACAGCACACTATGAATAGCAACAGAAAACAAACACAGAATGGAATCAGTAAAATCAAGCCTACTGATTCCATCTCCCGATGACGAGGATGGCTAATCACTTGGATGGACAGATGATAATGGATTTCTTATTACGAAGTACGGGATTCCAAAATTGAATATACTTCTGTGCGACAACCTGAGAGAAACGATACATGATACTTATATGTATGACGCACTACCCGTCGGGTGCCTCAGATATATACATCTATACATTTAAGTACATTTAAAAACACCACACTGACTTCAAGTTTAGATTAGGCAATAACAATTAATAGCAACATTTTTTTTAGATAAATACTCAAAATTATATAATAAAAAAGTTTATATTATTATCAATTATGGATACAACCTTTTCTGCATCACATGGCTTGCATTGTTCAAGTTCGTTGATTTGGATCCAATTTATCTTCTACAATAGAAATGTCTTGCTATATTTTTGCAGTTTTCAATAGATCTAAAATACACCAGTTGATGTCGATCGTGGCTAGACTTTCGGGATAACTGTCACTTCACTGTACATTCCTTCAAAACATTCACTTACATGTTTACCGCTTGACTCTGTGGGTAAATTTCCATTGACCCGCCGATCACTTAATGATGTATCCTAAAAATAGACCTGGATGTAAACATTGAATGCTAACGCTGACGCTACGATAACCATTAAGTATGCAGTTACATCAATCTGTGTGAAGTCCAGCAACGTTGACTTTCTTTTTACTTTGTGTGCTTGTTTCATTGTCCTAACTGCACGCAACTCATTTAAATTGTTAAAGAATACGAGGGGGAATTCCAATTTGTTGAAGTGAGGTTACAAAGAGGGGATTTCAAAAATACGCAATCATACATCTCCTGAGTTGTCAAAATATAGCAAAACATGATCAACTTATATATTTTATATAAACTGCATATTAGTAATAAAAAAAAATTATGTATATTTCTAATTAATATTTATTAAGATTTTTCATTTTAGGAGATGTGCGCATGTGCATATATAGGTATATATATAGAGATCCTCAAATACTTCACGTTTTTTAAAAAATCGTATCACGCACTGATCACTTGGGGGTTTTTTTGTACGTCGATGTCGGTCAACCTCTGTAGGTCAAACTAAAAGGTGAGCTATACTTAAACTAATTAATTACACAACGAACCGAAAAACAATAGTAATAAATAATACAACAGGGACACGAGCACTAGCTATTCACTACATTGTTTAATATGTTGCAAGGAAAATTGGTTGTCTGGAAAAGGGAAGCGGGGATTTGAGCTTCCTCTTTCAAAAGAAAGGGGGGTGGGGGTGGGGCAGCACCCATACTTAATGGATTAAGGACCCTCTATACACTGCAAACTGAAGAGTTCCAATTCCACGGTAATTCTATGCAGTTAGAGTGCTCTGCCCTTTGATTTAAATACATCCCCCAATAAAGTATATCCCCCCGTAAGATTTACTTTATGTACATGTAGTTAACCTTCCCCCATTAGGGAAATAAAAATTTTCCGAATAGTAAACCTTCCCACATTGCCCTAAGCAGTTCGGATTTTACGTATTCTAATGGGGGAATAATTGTACAATTATAGCCTTTTGATAAGGTCAATCCCTAGATACATAGACCTAAGAGAAGGCATTGTTATGTCATTCGCATTATTACATCACAGTAACGAATAGCAGCTGCAGTATCTGTTTTTAGAAACGTCCAATTTAAAAAGACTATTGTGACGTCAGCACTATTGTTGCTTCACAGAAGAAGCAGGTTTATATATATATATTTACATTTGCAAATGTTTTCTTTTATATAACACTATTGAAGGCAACGCGTATCTATGTCCGTATAAACACGGGTTCCTCGCGTCATAAACGTTCGACGTAATTTCTCAGTGACGTCATAAAGAGTCGACGCGCAATCAGTGGATCAAACATGTGCCGTTGGGTTTGAAAAATAAAACGTTTCACGCGTTAAATATTATAATCAGGCAAATATAAAATATGAATAAGTCACAAATGTAAATATAAGTAATAAGGTATCATTTTAAAACATCTATCGGGCTATAAATACGGGTTGGTACGAGATCAAATTTACCATAAAGCCCTTCGGGCTTTATGGAATTTGATCTCGTGACCAACCCGTATTTATATCCCGATAGATGTTAAAAAATGATACCTTATTTCTTAAAATATATTTTAGAAGCTTAAAATGGAAACACCCAGTTTATAAGACTTTTTATACTTGATCATGTGATCTAGTTTGAGCCAATCAAATAACTGGCAACAAAAGAAAATAATAAAACCTTTTATAGTATGTTTATGTCGAATTCATGTATTAAATAAGTACTAGTGTTGTGAGTTTCATTTCTGTGAAATTAATAGTATTGCGAGTTTCATCTCTGTGAAATTACTGGTGATCAAAATCTATCGTGCTCAAGTCCAATTTAAAAATCTGTAATCAAATTTTAGTGAACATCCTTTTACTACCCAATTTTTATTCAAAACCCCAATTCATTATTCTACGATAGCATACATGATATTGATCTGACTATGAGGGGAAATATTAAAAGGCGTAAAAGGAGAAGTGAAAAGGCGTTAAAACACAACGATACGTTATTAAGACTTTCAAAAAGCATAATAACGCGAAGTAAAAAGGCGTTAGAAAGCAAATGAAATTGCGTTATTACGCCGCCTTTAACCCTTTCGACGCCGAATATAGTTACGTTTATAACGTCATGAATGCCGTACTATGACGTCAACTGAGACGTAAAATAATTTGCTTCAGAAAAAAGCGTCAAACTGATAATGAAACAAGCACCTGTTTAAGCAAAGTAATAGGATGTTCATAGTTTTCAAGGAAAATGTGCATAATATATAGTCATATTCATTCCCATAATTTTTAATCGCCATAAAGTAAATTTAGCATATATATATCCTGTAGCTAGAATTCACAAGGAAATTCTTTACATACATGTATAACAAAAGCGACGTTTAGTCTTTTTCAAATAATATTTTTAGTAAATGTTATAAATGTATGACTGCCGTCACGAGAAAAGGGGCCCTTAAATAGCCTGGCCCTTTCTGAGTGCAAATATATATAACTTTTAAAAATATCTGATTTTTTCAGTATTACATACGCATTTTAGAAAGGCACTTTAAAACAACGTTGACGTTAGTCATAGAAAACGTACTGATGTCGCGTTCAGCAATTTCTTTCTAAACATTCTTAAAATTATTTAATAATCCTAATCGTTTTGACACATAAAAACTTGAGAAAATATTTGATATCTTTTTCTAAGCTACTAGTATGTAATTATTCCTAAGAAAAGACGCCTTAGTTCATACTTCTAGAGGCAGACCCATTAATTAAGGAGGAGGGGGATCTAGACATTTAGGATCTGGGAACGGTTTATATTCAGTCGAAAAATATTACAATTTCACACAAAATATTCTTTTTATATTTTATAATCTAGCCCAATTAAAAATGGATATAAAGCAGGCGCACTTGAAACATTAACCCCCCCTCCCCCCAAAAAAAATCGCAGATGCCCCATAGAGAAAAAAAGAAATCCAACCCAAACAAGGGGTCTGCGCGTAAAGCGGGCCATCCCCTCGCAAAAAAGCAAATCGATCTCGATATAAAAAAATTATTACTTTCGGTTAAAAGCACGCATTCACTCTACCATCCACCCACCCACATCCACAAGCGCGTTACTTTTCCCCCCTCCAACTTTGTTTAAAAGAGAAGATAATAACACTCCAAGTATTTTATGTATCACCGATGAATTCTAACGGGAAATTGATTCAGATGCATGATGTGTAAAATACGGTAGTTGTTTGTTCGTTTGTTTTTTGGTTAAGTTTATTCCGTTCATAAAAAGTAATTAAAAAAGTCTGTTTTTCTACTTCCAAGCGGATTTTTTTTAATTTAATATTGACCATGTTGTTCATACAAACCAATTTCTTCCAAGGTATGGAATACAAACATAAAAAAAGAGGCACATAATGATTCAAAAGATTGTTTTGTGAAAGTTTATTTCATATACATGAAAATTGAAACTATTAGTCAATTTTTTAGTTTTTCCCAAGTAAATCAGGTTATATCCAAAGCTGTCTTCTGGTTATTTTTTTTAACCTGTGCTCTCGACGCTTATCACTTGGACACAGCAATCGTACAACATTTCTTAAAAGGGCCGAAACTGTAATCTCAAATGAAACACTAAGGAAATTGGTTTCTTTAAAATAGATTTCTAAGACCGCACGACATTAACTGGCAAGATTGGAAATATACAGCTTACATGTACCTCATTTCCATCTGTTACACTAAAAATATTTGATGATCGAGACGACACTGATATGGGCTGTCCAAACTCAAAAACTTTCTGCTTATTTCTAAGATCTAACCCCCCCCCCTTCTCAAGAAACAAATGTTCGTCCTCTTATTATTTCTTTTAAACAAAAACATTGGACAGAAAACTCTGATTATAAATTATTATATAATATAATTATTATATAATATATATCAATATATTATATTAATTATTTCGAAATTGGCATTATTTATCTTCTGGATCTATCACTAACACTGTGCGCACAAGAGAAGCTGAGGTGAATTTAAAATGAATTTCGAACTAGAATTTTAATCCATGTATTCTCAGACGCCCGCGCTAAATTATTATAATTACCCGCTCAAATGTTTTGACTCTAATACATGAAAATGACGTAATCTGCATATTTCCAAACCTTGACAGTAAGTGTTCCGCGGTCTTAATGTCGGAATGAATTGGAAATTCGCGATCATATTGCCATATACTTACTATCACCTGCTGGACATAGAAATATAGCCGTCAGTCACGTGTCATGTTTAAGCTTACTAAAGTTCGAAATTTCAATCCTAGGAAAAATAGAATTCCTTGTAGCATTGCGCTTGATCTGAAATAATGACCTTTCTGGATTCCTGGAATTAAAAAAAATCTCGCGAGAGATTTTATTGTCTGGTTTCCAACTCAGATTTACGGAAAGTTCTAAAATTATTTTTTTTAAGTAGAGTTTGATCAAAGAGATGGTTGTTCTGCTCTTGGAGCTTTTCTATATTATGCATATTTAACATAGCTGGACTTTTCTGAGCAAAGTGAGATACAGCTGCATTACAATTTTGACGAAATCTGAAATTGAAACTGAATATTTTGCAAGACTTGAATATATTTTTATGCAGTCATCTTCATCCGTGACATCAGCTAATCTGACATCTTAAAGCTTTTCATACTTCGATGCAATGAAATGCACATATAATTATGTCTCAAGCAATAATTAAATAATACGTTCAACACATGTTTATAACTTTTTGTATAAGGCGATGCAGGTAAGCAAAATCCATTTAATGTTTGAAACTCTCCTGCTCTACTCGACTCTCTTCATAGGCTAAGTTGAACCTTGAAATTACAGAACATGACGGGTATTTTTGCCTGTTACCACAGGACAGGATTAAAAACGTTTTTTTTTCCTTTAAAGGCAGAAAGGTGTGTGTATATACTTTTTCCTCAAAGTCGTATAATTCAACGGAACTTTCAGAAAATGTCGAGATATCCGGGGTGTCGAGATATCAGAGTTGAAACTTGACGTTCAAGTTTTCAATGCTAAACATGGCTAAATTATTACATACACGAATCAACAGTCAATTTTTAAAAAATGATTCCTGACATTTTTCACGTTCATCAAAGTTTTGAACGAATCTCAATTTTTATTTTGTTTATTCGTTTGTTTGTTTGTTTTTTTTTGGGG